TTTGGAACTTATTTTTTTTTTTTATTCTAGTAGTATCTTTGAGACAAGATTTTACTTATACGTATAATATATTTTGGAATTCGACGTTGATTTATTTCATTATGAAGGCAAATAAAAAATATTTGTAAATTGGATGTAATTAGTTGAAATTACACTACAATATTTAAGTTTATATGCATAACAAATTTATTCAAATGTAACTATAACCTTTAAGCACTTAAAACATTTTTATAGTAAAATCTAAAACCAAGACCATTTCTGCGTTTTTTGAGTGGTATGTTTTATTGAAGAGGGTATACATATATCTAATCTGGCTAGCTTTTTTTTTAATAATTTATTATGGTCTAAAATTATTGTTGGGACTGTGTAATACGATTAAAAGATTAATTGTTAAAAAATGCCACTGAATCTAGTTACATACGTCATAGGTCAGAAATACAAAAAAAACTAGTGGGCTAATTTTTTCGGGTTTCTGCATATTTTTTATAACTAAATTTTTGAATAATTAGTAAAAAAGTTTATAGTTGTACCGTCACTATGTTTTTATAGGAACTTGTATGAAAAAAAAATGTTGGTGAGAAAAGTCATATGAAAAAACTCTTAATCAATACTAATGAAAGGCTACAAGGGATAAAAATTTACTCTCCATACAGATACATAAAAATTATATTCACAAGTGTTGGACAAATCTAGCTTATTTTGAACATTAATTTTTTCCATTCTTGACCGAGTGAAGAAACTTTTTTCAATTCAAATAGTAACAAGTACGTTCATTACAAATATCAATAAAAGCAGGCATCATTTGTTAAAAATTTTTTTAAAAATAAAATAAATATATCAGCGAAACGTAGCTTTTTTTTAATCATCCGTTAAAGGCATCGAGCACAAAAACTCAACATGCGTTAGCGAGAAAAGATGAAAAACTGAGAAATTCTCACAGCGATCACTATTACTCACGGATACTTAAAGGTCAGGCGGAGTGTGCAAAATCGCTTCACACGAGCATTCAGTGTAAGTTGATGAGGAGAAGGAAAGAGCTGAGGGAGCGTTTTATTTTTGCGAGCCGCGTCGTCCACAGTCGTTATATAGACCTACTGCAGCAAGCGAAAGGAGTAAGGGTAGAGTAATCCGCAGAATCATTAATTAAATTTTTAGCTTCTTGCATCTGTGGCGTATAGGTATATATGAATACAGCACACGAGAGCCGAATGCTTTGTGAATAGCTGCGCTGACGAGAGAGAGATAGACAGCAAACGGCCGAAAACAGGAGTCATTAGGAGCGCGCAAACGAGTAATTAATCAGAATTAACAGCGCGACACCGGTGCTACCATCCCTCGCTCGCTGCACACCTACCACGTGCCCCTGATGTGCCATTTCTCTGTGCCGTGCACTACTGTTCGACCTCGAAACGTACATTTCATCTGCTTACTCTTTTTTTTTTTTTTTTTTTTTTATCTACTGAGACCCACACACGATTAAATTTATCTTAATCCTGCTGTGTCTGCTTTTCGTTTTTAGCTTAAGGTCAACAAGAAATTTCTTCACGAGCATACAATCAGGGCTTTGCTTTTCTTATGAGCAATTCGTCCAAAACCAACGAGAATATATATATTACGATGCTTGCTTATTTAATCCTCGCAGTGACTTGGCTCTCTATGCAGCTCATTCGACAGGAGACTACGCCAATATGCCCCTCATATAAGCTCGGAAAGAACTACATTTCTTCAAACATCCAACATCGATTTTGCAAGTAGTCTCGTTGTGGTATGGATTTGTAGTCTACAAAACTATACTGAAATGCTTCGAAGGCCAAGTGAAAGTTAGGAAATTGTTGGCGGTTGGTTTTTACCATTGATTAAGCTTGTCAAGTCGATTGGGCTCTTTAGAGAAGTTGCAAGCCCGCACCAACGCGCTATCGCCGTCAATCGCTATCGCCGTCGTGAACTACGTCAATTAAGTGTTCAGGAACAGAACTATCAACACGGACATTGGTGACACCAACTTCAAAATAAAATTCATTCAAGTAATCAAATTCAAAATGAAAAAATTAAAGCTTTATAGCTAGTAATGGTTTAAGAACCGCACTACTTCACTGTCTCAAAACTGTATAACTAAAGTGAGCGAAACTCCTTTCATTCCGAAAGCAGTGAGCAAATGTTGCGGTTTATGAAAATGAATAAAACTGCAACAAGTTATGTTGAAATACATACGAGTTTGTAATCCTTGGCATATCGTATTAAACTGATGGAAAGAATTCCTTGTATATAAACCACATTAACTAATTGTTAACGGATGTGGCCTTAAATAGAAGCAACTACACAATCGTGAACAGTTAGTAAATCAAGTATTTTACAGATGGTATTGGAGGCTACAAAAAAAATTGGTTGTGACATGAAAAGCTTGTGCCATAACCGACGACGGCGTCTTATTTGTCCACGAATATTTATTTCGTGTAAATCTAAAGCCTTACAATATAGTTGATAAGTCGTTCCTAACTATAATCCAAAGTCTCACGTTATGGCTAAAGAGTATACAAGTCTTTATTTCTATCAATGTTAGACTAAAATAAAGACTATTTAAAAAAAAGGATAGAAAATGAGTCTAATTACAAATATGAAGTATATGCAAAAGTTATATGTATTATATTTATTTACACTCAATTGAAATAAATTATTTATTATAAAAGTTGACTTTGTACTAGGCAAGGAATTGTCACCAGGGCAAGCGGATCCACTAAGCTTCTTGGGGCTACCAGATGCGAGTTTTATTTTGTCTTCTGAGGCCACAGAAAACGTACGATGTTTTACTTACATATGTTTACGTATGTTTTAAATACTAAGGAAAAATGTAGTTATATTTGGTATAAGCATTACAAATTTTTCCATTTTCCGAATTCATGCAATACTTGGTTTATCAATTCATCTAAAAAAAGTGGGTGATCCCACGAGCTTATACATTACAAAGTATAATAACCAACTACGTTGCACACGCCACGAAATAATTATAATTATATATTCCGTCCTAAAATGATACAATCGTTGCATCGGATTTACTTTTAATGGCTCATAATGTGTACTTATTTATCACCATATTTGAAAAGAAAAAGCGTCAATTAGATTTGATTTAAGGCTCGCGCAGATTGGATTTATAGCGCTTAAAATGCACACTTGCTCCTTTTCTTTAGCTCGAGCTCAACAACGCATGCGTGAAAAAGTTTCGCGCGAATCTGCGAAACGAATCTCCTGGAGCTCGACGGGAGAGGGTACGTATAAATAAAACGGGGGGGGGGGGGTGAAACACGTGGTACCCACTAATTTGACCCAGAATCACGTTCTTTCGCAATACTAGATTCAGATAAAGTATACTTTTTGAATTAGAGGGATAATTATGATAACGGTAGGCTGTGGACTGAGGATGGTCGCATCAACAGTGGAGTTGAGGAGATAAAAACGACGGGCGAAAATTTGAAAAAAACTTGGTGATAATGTTATCCCTCGAACCGATGAGAGGGACGCTCCAATTTGCTTCTTTTACTCTCGCGGCTAATAATAAAGTGATATTATTAGACTCCTGTTCGATAAGGTCACTCATTATGGTGTATGAATTTCCATTTACTTTCACTCTTCAATTTCACTCTAGACACCCGAGATAAAATTAAAGGCACGGCTTACAATTGTTTGTTCGATAAACGAAGGAATCACGAAAATCAAGTTTCGTGGCTACTTGCATGGAAAATACATCGTTCACCTGCAACAAATCAACAACTACAAGTTAAACTTGTGACCTAAAAATACCAGTGACTATGATTGAAAGGAATTCCATTAGGACGGAAAAACATTGAGGAAACAGCTGTTTTGGAGAATTGTTTTGCCTCAAATTTCGTCGCGGTAACTTATTAAAATGACCACTATATACCACTTGAAAATGAAAAGTGTTAATAACAGTAAATAAGGCTTAAGGCAATTCACACTTTGATCAAATTAAGTGCTTCCTCAAATTCAATGAAACACGTGAGTTAACGTCTCTTGACTCAGACGTGAATAAACCGTTCCTTCACCACCATTTGAAATACAAACAAAAGAAACGACTACAAACAAATAGATCTCGACAAAACGTCATTATCCGATTGTCCAACGGGGGGGGGGGGGAAGAGAAACTGCAGTGTATAGGTAACAATCAATAAATACTGCCAAGTCAAACCGTGCGATCGCAATGAGCACTGGGGGTTCCGAGAACCCTAGGCAACTGCGGGTGTATTTGCATGTCACGTGCCGGTAAGTATTATAAATCAAAGCCAAGCGCAGCAGCAGCCTCCGTGGCCATCCAGAGCCCGCGTTTGATCAACGCGCGTTGCTCAAGGACACGGAATCTCGCAGCAACCAAGCCAAGAGAGCGAGGGAGGGAGGGGGGGATATAGTCCCAATTAAGGAAGCCAAGCGGCGTCCCCCGAGCGCACGTATTATACGTGAACCCCCCGTTACTCTGCTGGTAGAGCCCAATAAAGCTCGGGTTCTCTCTCGAGGGATGAGAGACACGACATCAGCGAGAGGGAGCGTGTATGTATGTACATATAGGTGCACCCGGCACAAGGAGATGAGCTCTAAGAAGCCAGCCGGTCATCACCAGCATCGGATATATATACATAACGACAGGAGAGAAAAGAAGATGCAAGAGAAGAGGCAGGGGAAAGAGGGGGAGTATACGTACCCATCGTGTGGTCGAGAGAGAGACGGTGGTGGAGGACAGAGGCGTCTCGTTTTCTCGCGCGCTTGGCTTGTAGGCCTCTCCGTCATCTCACCCTTCGCCGTTACGTACCTATATCGTTCGTGGCTGCTGTCCAGATGAGAGAGAGAGAGAGCGCGCGCGAGATGGAAACAGAGAGAAAGAGAGATGGAGAGTGAGGCTGGTGGCAAGTGATCTCGTGTGCTCGATCAGTTGCTGACGCTGCTGCTGCGCTCAGTCGTCGCTTATCCACGGCCGCGAAAGCTTACCGAGCCAGAGCTTTTTCCCGTGCATCTGCTGCCGGCTCAGCTTGCGATCGTATGCGAGTGGTCTTTCGTTCCGTTAAAAATATAAATCTACCTACGTCTAGTGTGGGTGGCTGATTTTGCATACCGATATATCTGAGTTCAATCGGACAGGCTCTTGAGACTTTTGGTTGTTTTTTTGTGTGGTGGCCGATACTTTTTCATTCAAGAATGTTCGTTTGTTTTAGTGCATTTTGGCGCGTGCTTTCATATAGAAACGAACGATTTTTTCCAAATGCCCTGTGGAAAAAGAATCATTGCGCTCAAGTTTGAAGCGATTAATCAAAAAACTTGCTAGTTGGAATTTGGCTGTTTTGATTGGTAATTTTTTTTTTTTGTTTTTGTTTTCTCGAGTCAGTACAGATTTTGGCACGCGTTCTACGCACGTTGATGACGACGTGTTTATAAATAACGTTTCTCGGAGTGTTTTTTATCCACGAGATAAGACTATTTTTTTTTTACGTACGTATTTTGACAATCTAATTCAGAGATATCGGTTATCTCCCCAAAACGGTTTATCGCAGACTGCTCAATCGAGATGTGTTTATACGTATTGTGATAGCAGCCTTGATATCGACAAGCCCTTTCATTCAAAAGATCAACATGCATCGAAGCAAGGAGCCACACCACGGGCAGTAGTGAGTACTTGGCGAGATCCATCGGCTGTATGTGCACAGTTGTTCAACGGACAATAATAGCACATTGGTGAAAAAGAGATGCGTTGACGGTGGCCAAAGACGCGTCCGAACCGATCTCTACGCGGAGGTTTGCCAGTGCAGGCGTGTCAAGAAGAGGAGAACACAAAGGGTGAACGGCCTCGGGACACTCGAGCATAGCCATGCAAGTATTCTCCCCCGGTGGTGTCTGCGTGGCGCCCATGTGAGCCGAGGGTGCGCGACATACATGACGGCGGCCGCACGTGTCCCTACGGTTGTCTTGTTTTTCACTTTTGTCTCCCGGTGCATGGACCCGCCGAAATAAACCAGACCACGTGACTCCGTATTTTTGACACGCCTCTCGCAGCAACTGACCTTCGGACCGATTCTGGAGTCTCAGGGGAACCGGTAGTACCGGTACGTTACCGGCTGTATGGTATTATTTGCCGACTACAAGTGCGTCCATCGTCAACTTGCGCATCTGTACATAAAAAGTGTTTAATTGCCACGCGCTCGTAAATTTAGTTGATTATAGGAAAGCAAATACACGGAGGGTCCCTTTCCGATTTCCATCGCGATCGATAAAGAGCGTGTGGATTTTCAATTTGACTTTTACGGTATGCCAGCTGCGATAATTGGAAAACAAAGTATGTTACGTATTTTTGTTTGGTTGATTTTTGTTGGCTTCGTGAAAAATTCAGCAGAAAACTAAAGTAGTATAATAATTAAAATTAGCAAAAAACTGATATTCAATATTTAACTTGGATTGCTATATTCTACTCTTGGCTTCAGCTGGTGTTACAGGCAATGGTTAGAGTGAAACGAATAAATAACTCGAAAGCTCCAAAAATGTATTGATATACTAAGAATCGGTTGTTATAACAATTAAAAGAAAAAAAAAAAAAAAAAAAAAAAAAAAAAAAAAAAAAAAAAAATCATAATCTTGTCAGAGCAAATAAAATAGTTTTGTGTTATGCGCACCTGTGTAGTTCTGGGTTCCGAAATATCGACAGTGTCTTTCAATTTCGTAGACTACGTATAAATGCTTATTCTGGAGGTCTTTATGTAAACGATAACTCAGTGCATCGACTTCGTAAGTTCATTCAGCCTATCACGATGCAGTTCGTTTTGGCATTTCATTTTTACTGCCTTGAGATCTGCTGTCGAAATAATAAAAAGTCGTTGCACTGAGATATAGTCGAAATCAAGGTCACTGGAATGAGTATGCTTGGGGGAAGGAGATCCGATTCCGCAGCAACGCAATATTCAGACCATATATGTAAAATGCCAAAAGCTTATCTACCAGTTTAACGTCCATACAGAAAATGTTATCTCCTACAGGTACAGAGTATATTGCGTGAACAGCACAAAGAAAAAAATTAGAATAACTAAAGGGTAAAATAATGACAAGTATGAAAATGATTAAATATAGACCATTAAAACTTTGATTAAAATTTAAATTTTTACACCTAGCCAGATGCTTTTTTTGAAATGCTTACTTGGGATTTTGACCTTCCCCCCTTCCTAATTATTTCTCTTTGATCATTCTACCCCTTAGATATTATAGATTTCTTATTTTTTTCACTGCCCACGCAGTGGATTTTTTACTCGTAGGAGATAAAATTTTCTGTACAAGTCCAACTTATAGATAAGTTGTTGGCATCTAATGTCGTCTCAATGGTATAGGTTATCCGTGAATCGAGCCCCACCAGCTGGAATGAACATTTATAATTTTACTACACCTTTTTTTTTGAACCCGCTTCGTGCGATCTAACTTGTTATGATCACTTTTATATTATTTAATGAGCATAGGTACTACTATATAAAAGAAACATACGATTTCGTTCATTTTTTTTGTGTCTTCCTAAACGTATACACGTTCACTCCAAATCTTATTCTTACAACATTTATGTTACCTTTATAGTGTTATACAATTATAATTATAATTATAACTACACAAATGTTTTTTTTTTAAACAATTGTCAGTTTAGTCAGTACCATATCGTCATTTAAATAATTAATTACTAATTTAGAAATATTTTTTGTGAAAAAAATCCTTGCAACATAGTAATGTAAGGGATATTCAAAAACTACTTGTAATTTTATTTTTTCTTGACTTAAATCAAATAAAGTTTTTTACAGGATAAACAAATCAAGTAACATTATGTTTGATTACATTTGTATGATAAACTAATACCATCTTAACTTTTCTGCAATCTAAAGCAATTGGTTTTTAAAAAACCCCACCCAATCAATACACTTAACCTATTTTAACCAATTTTTTGAGATAGGAAATTGAAGTGCACTGTCGATGTTTTGGATATACTTTCCCTATTTACGAGTTAACGAAAGAACCGGAAAATTTGTGATAAATTATAAAATTTATTAAGTAATCTAGTTCTAAAAATTTTTGGTAAACACGAAAAGAAACTTGTAATCGTTCACACACAGTTATATCGTTTATAATCAAAAGTCTGTTACAAATTTTTAATAACACGAATTCTTTTAATACATAGTTATTTATTCACGTTTTGAAAAAATATATAACGATTTTTCATCACAACATTTAATTGAAGAAATCGTAGAGTTCGTATTGTAATAGTACATTCTGCTGCGATTGGCGATCTTGTATGATAAGGGCTCGGATTTGTGTTTAACGCTCATTCATCGCGAAAAATAATCGTCGTCAAAGATGTGAAAAACTAAAAAATAAATGGGAATCGTAAGAAGTACTCCGAAAAAATATTATATGGTTAAAAACTTCTTGTAGTAATCACAGTTTCTCTTTTGATAACTCTTTATCCATCTCATTTTTATTCTTTTTTTTAATGTGTCTCATATTCGGAATCAAAATGTAGCGCGTCATAGCCATTGACAAATTTTTGATAAAAATAAAACTTGATGACAAAACGTACCCAAAAAAGTCGCAAGAATCAGCTGTTTCAAAGTAAAGTATTTACCAAAGCTTTTTATGGAATGGAGTAATGTTGAAGGATGTTTACAAACAAAGAAGCGTTAAAGAACCATGATACAAAAAAAACTATTTATAAAAAAAATTTAGGTTGTCTCGATGAAAAGTTATTGATTCAACGTCAAAAAATAGATAGCAAACCTATTATTAACGCATGGCTATAGTCAAATGATACCAAAATGAATTGAAAAAAAATTTTTTTTTGTTCAACAATGAGGATTCAAGATTCAAACTTATGTTCTTAAAATTTAACTTAATACCATAAACTTATCGTAAAATCTTTCAAAAATTCTTATACACTGTCGTTATGTTGTACATTGAAGCTATTGGAACATTTGTACGTATTCGATGTTAGAACGATGGTTAAATAAAATATTCAAAATGAAGTCAGTGAATAAAAATTTTAGCTCTTCACGTGGATTTTATAGAAAAAAGTGAATGCAAAGCGTCATTTTCGAATTCAGATCCACAATTTCTGAAGACCCGAAGGAGTCAAATTATTTTTAAATTATTTGGATTATGAAAAATTTGTAACACTGAACAGAGAAAATTATATCTCCAATTTATCATAAGCCGATTGACAGCCTACTTGACATGTGTGGTGAGATGTGAAGGCTCAAAATTACAGTAAAACTTTTGTTGAAAGCGTAATTATTCGTACATGTAATCATTTGCGTCGATGTTTTTATTGGCGTAAGTTTGCTCGGCTGACTTTGATCTTTATTTTTCTATCGGTCAATAGAAAATGAGTACAAACCATAAATTTTTTTACAGCAATAAACGCTGCAGTAATTTGATACTCTTTTTATTATTTTTATTGCTAATTTAAAATAAAACAAAAGAGATGACGGTTCGGTTCTAAGCCGAATGGTTACGGCAAAAAAAGATCTCTGAGAACTAATAATTTCTTCTATATGACCATCGTCTGCACAGCCTTAGAATTGCATAGCTGTGAACTTTTATGGTCAGCAAAATCGCAATAATTTCTCGATCCTTTCGTAAAGACAAAAACCATGACTTGTCAAGGAGAAGTTTGGGTATAACAAAAGTACCCAAAATCTCCAAAGACGAGCGAAAAAGGTATCCAGCGCGTTACCGCGAGCGTGAGACAATTAAACACAAATAATTACTGGCCCCAGGTAATAATAATCACCGTATCCATCATCGCTACAGAGAAGAAGAAATTTCGCGCATCTCTTGCCGGACTTTCGAAAGCCAGCTCTTTTCCCGAGCGCGTGTGTGCAGCTAGAACAATTTCCAGCCCGAGAAACAGAGCGAGGAGGAGCCGCAGCGGTGCGTCGCACGCAGCGAGGCGCGAATGGATCCGCGCTGGAGCCGAATATTATGAGCTGACGCCGATGCCACCGCCACGAGGCCGCCTCGTCCCAAACATGAAGCCACTGTTCTGGCTCATGCTGCTCCTCCCCTTGTCCTGCAGCCACGTCTTTGTCGACGCCCGCGATTTTTCTGGCAATCGAGGACATAGGTATACCATCGACGAGCTGCTCAACACCAGGTTTCCCAATCGCATATCTGGAGACTGGGACCTGGACATCTGCAAAGCAGGTATAAGTTAGCCCTAAGTCCATACCAAAAGTCATATTTTGTGTGTATATATAGTCTGCATGCGATTAGGGCGCAAGTATTTGATAATCAATGGTTCAGTAGAGGGAACTGTTTGATGCCTCTGCAACTGAAATTACTGTCATCCCAGGAAACACATTTTCTCGAGATTTCTTTTAGACGTCTTCTTGACTTCTACACAGATATCTTCAAATGGACATTGAAAGTCTATAAAGCATCTAAAAGACATCCCGAGAAAATGTGATACTTATTCAAAACATGTATTCTTGGCTTCACATTTAGAGCCGTAATTACGATGCAAGTATGTATAATTTTTCATACGAGTAAACAGGCTTGGGATAATGGGAACCCTTTATACTTTAACTGATGAGTTGAGAAAACATAACTTTTACAATAATGAACGTGTATAAAAAATAGTCGGTCAGGTTTTGTACACTTCTCACAAGTCTGGGAAATACTTAAATAGAAACGATTGGTGTTACCTGTAAGCGTGAATTTATGTTAAAGTAAGATTGAGAAATTTAAAAAGGGTCAAAGGAAATCTATTAATTTATAGCATATTATAGTCCACTAGCCAGGATAAGTCAAAATGATATTTTGACCTCAGAATAGAAACTATGATACAAAATTTTTATATTTCTCTGATTAAATATACGTAGATACTTACGATTGTAATTTTAATTTAAAGTGAATTAATATGAGTTGGTCTCTGTACGCCTATTAATTCCTCAACTTGTAAGGATAGGAAGTACCTTATGCAAAAATATTTCTTTGGCTCAAATTTTTCTTCTATTTCTGTTTTTTGGCTAAGCTTATCTATTTTGAATTTTGAGTTTTTGAAGTGATACAATAACATTGAAATAGATGGGAAAATATTCTCAAAATGGCCCAATAAACACCAATGTGAAAGTCTGCTCTTGCAAATGAGCAAACAGAGAAACGTTCAAGAATTTTTAAGTCCGAACATGGATTATTTTTGGTTTGTGAAGCGAAATTTATTTTAGGAGATCACTGTATAACAAATAAGAGGCATAATCAATTTTATGCCAAAATCAATCAAGTATGTTGTAAGACAAGCTATTAGGTTTTCAAACAAATAAAGAGTACTAACTAGATAAAATACATGGAGTTGATTATCTAAAAGCACAGATTTGAGATATTGTAAGAATAAGAAATTTGCCAGTATCAAAGTCATTAACAAGAAACGTACGGATGAGGTAGACGATCAACAACATTTATCAAAAAACAATAGCTGATGAAAATTACATCAAGCAAACAATAAAGGTCTATTATCCTCGGTGATTCTAAGCCCCACTCAACGAGTATTTGTCTCAAGTTTCGGGCTAATTTTCATTATTCTCCCCCTTTGTTTCGCCAGCCTTTAGAAAAAACTCCTCCTCCTTGCTATTTTTTGCCGTAACGCGAGGCTACTTCGCACAAAAGATGCTCACAGAGCCACGACCAGGGTAGGAACGAGGAAAAAAAAAAAAAAAAAAAAAGGGGACACGGAAAAAAAAATAAAGAAGAATCTTGTGAAAATAAAAAAAGAGAACCAAGCATAATGATAATGCCTAAAGAGCTGTACAATAAGGGGGACTGTGTTGGGATTGTGATTTGAAGAGCATGATAGTTCTGAGTTAAATGGAGGCTTGTATACGAGTACAAGTAGCAGCAGTTGTCGATTCATCTGTGATGATAAAAGCTGAGCGTGTTTGGTTGCAGACTTTTTCTTATACTCGAAAAATCTTTGATACAACAGTAACTAGAATCATATGATATATCATAGTGTGATACTCCCGTAGTTTTCCCACTTTTCGTTGTGTGGTACTGCTGAGTTTAGTATTCTTCGAGGAAGTGATGAGAAAAGTCAATGCCATTTTGACCTCAAAAGATTCAATTAGCGAAGACAATATATACTTTTATACTGTTTTCTTGTGATTATGAGAAGTTTTAATTCAAAAAAATGATCATAGTCCATACGTTTCAGAGTTTAAATTTAATAACAAGACGATGGAAAAAAACAATTGCATAAAACTTGAATGTACAGTGAAGGCATATAAAGTAAGTTCGAAAATTGTTTAATTAAAAAAAGGAGGAGGATAATATACGAGTACATGTATAGAAAAAATACGAGAATAAGGCATGGCCTACTTGAGCGATATTTGCTCTGATTAGCAAAGACAGAAGCTTCATACGGAGACAAAGATGGGGAATGAAAACAGATTAATAATCATCCTGGTCGAGGTGGCACTTTTTTTTTCAACTGCCACGAATGACAATTTTTCTACAAATCGTAGTTTTAACTAAAAAAATTGAGTTGCCTTGGTAATTTCGAACTTAGATGGGAAAATGTCGATAAATTCAATTACTCGCATTAATAACCATAAGCCCTGGGGAATGTTTACTACATTTAGCGAAACAGATGTAAAGATATATTTTTGAGACGTATTGGAACTTGGGTAGTCACACGACTAACGAAACACATAGTATATGTTGCAGTTGTTCAAAGATAAATAAACAGGGCAATTCATGCTTAAATACTATAAAATTCAGAGTTTCAGACGTAAAAGTTTATGGGCGTAAGATGTAAAAGTTGTAGAAACGGAAAGCCAGAGAATAGGAAAAAAAAAAAAAAAAAAAAAAAAAAAAAAAAAAAAAAAAAAANGAAAAAAAGGCTTAATTTAAAAATTAAATTTTTACTTCGAAAACACAATAACTACATTTTTTTCAGAGCAAAAAATGTTAGCACTTTTACGTGAGTTTTCCAAATTATTTTAATTTATCAAAATAGGCTTAATTACATTATTTTTATTGTTGATTATCGTTTTTAAATATTATTGTTACAAAAATAGTTACAAAAATGTACAAACTGTATTTTTTTATGATTTAAAACTTTTGTATCAACAACTTTTTTGGTGTAATGTCAACATGTACTGTCATGGGCAAAAATAGCTTTTTTTATAATTTTTAAATGTTTATAGTCTTCTTAACTATCAGGATTGTAATTTTAATGAAAGTGTGCAGTACAAAAAAATATAATTTCAACGAGATTTACATGTTTTTTGGCCACTCAAACCTGTAATAAAAACCATCAATAGTATAGAAATTAGGTTTTTTTTTTTTTTCATACTTTCCAACGTTTTCTTCAATTTTTCATATATGAATACAGTTATAAAAAAGTTTAAGAAACCTTTGTTTTAATTTATTTTGTCAAGAACTACAACTTTCTCTTTCATATCAAATGTGCAAGTCCTTTAATTTTTAAGATGTACCCAATAAATTGATTCTCAACCCGAGTAACATTATTTTTTTTTACTATAAAGGCATAAAAATACTTTTTTTTTGGTCTACATAGGTAGTCAAAAGATTTATTTTTTCAATTAAAAATTTTTGTTTCTCAACTATAATTATATAGATCTAAAAAATTAACTACAAAAATAAAACGTACAAAAATTGATTTTAATTTTTTTAGAGTTATACAAACTTGTGGCTGGTAACATTATGCCTTTCGACCAAACTTGGTGAATTTGAAACTATAATATTGTAGTACAAAAATAAAGCTACAAATTAAATTGAAACCAAGGTTAATAAAAGCTTTTTGAGATAGTTAACTTACATTTCTTTATACACCGATCGGCTACCCTTTTTGTATATAATCGTAATATGACTTAACTGTTTGAAACCCAAATTTTCTATTTAGTGGTGATGAGAATCTTCGTACAAAAAAAAATCAACCAAGTTGCATCGAAATCGGTTATCTGGACTTTAAATTATGACTTATTGTACACACCCACATACATACATAGACAGATTTTTTTGCCAGAGTAATATACGTCAATTTAAAAGTTCAGAAAACATATTAGTGGAATGTTATTGAAATGTGTGATTTTTTGCCCATTGCAAATCTTCCTTTTGGAGGAAGCAAAAAATAGCCATCCTCTTTTAAACTACATTAGTAATATCAGCTAATTTCTGAGTGGTACTGATGAGAATTTATATTGTATTGTACTAACGTCAATTACACACTTGTCAAGTCTATAATGTATCATGATGATACTTACTGCATTTTAATTATGTTATGTAAGAAGTACGACATGTACTTTTCAATGTAATAATACTTAATGCAATTGTTTAATGTTTCGTGAAAGATAACGATTACTTTTATAGAGTAACTCTTAGAATAAATTGATGCTGATTATATAGACGCAGTTTCAGTAATACATACAATTGGAGCATGATGTGTTATCAGCTACCAACTGCGTGGTGTTACCGTAGGTATTATTTCGAAAAAAAACATCGTAACCATTTATATTCTATACTGTAAATTTTAACACAGTTAAATTTACAAATTTCTTTTTTTTCATCACATTCTACTAATGCGGATCTTACTTTTTCAACCGCTTTTGTCATTTGCTGTTTATTATTTAGCATCCTACACATTTGGTCGATGTAATAAGTGGAAGAATATTATAATGTATTCCTTGTTCTACATTTGATTTATAGTTAAATAGTCAAAGTGATTGATGCAACCATAAGTTAGTCATACAACTGTAACATTTCAAAGAAATTTATTCTTACACACGTATAAGTACGCACACATTTTTTATATACCTTTTTTTATATTTTCCCTACTTTTGCATAACTAAAATAAAGTTATCATGTTTAAAATAAATAATTTCAGTTTTGCATATTTCTATTATTATTTCTTCTAAAACTCGGCATCTCAATAATACGATTTTTTAATATCTTCACTAAGATTTATTTCCAAGTTTTATAAGAAACACCGTTGACTAATCACTCAAATCCAGGGACTCCTTTGATGAAGTTTATTCTTATATGGCTCATTTTTTTCAAATAGTTTAAAATTATTAAGCTGTCTACATGATTTGAACAAAAAATGTATGTAAATTCCAAACTATTTTTTGGGGAAAGGACAAATGTTAGATTATTCGTCACGTTACATATTAAAGTGAAATTTATAA